CCCCAGGCTGCACCCCCAGGCTAGGGTTCCTGTTGTCTCCTTTGTTTGGATCTTCTGGAGCTGCAAACCGCAGCAGGGCTGGAGTCTTTGCGTCACTAGACTGTATTTGTTTCCTTCTGCTCCGTGGCAGGAATGCCCGGTGCCCGTGTGGGTGGCAGGGGAAATCTTGGCTTACCTGCCACTACCATGGCAACCAGGTAACCTAAGGACTTCAGAAGTGAGCCTTTTCAGATTGAGACAGGGAAGAATTGAAGCAAGCGAGAAACAAACAGAAAGAAATCTGTGAATGGAGAAACCACTGGAGTCTTGCACCTGCAGCTTTCTGTGTCATTGGCAGCGAGGAGAATCCGTCCTGTTCTCTTCCTCACACACCAGCTCAGCTGTCACCAAGGGCTGCGGATCAGCTGGTCCTGCCTCCTGCCTCTAGCATGACCCCACTTTACCCCTCCAAGAGGCCCGTGCTCTTCTGCTCAGCATCCCCAGGGAAGGGAAGAGCCCCGCCCTCCACTCCCAGTGCTCTCAGCGTCCCCCTCATGACACAGAGGACAGTCCTGGGCCGTGAGCTGGCAGATCTGTGTTGTGACCCCTTACCCATGTCACAGGGGTGGACTCCCCTCTCTCCGGTGCTCTGTTGAACTTTACCGAAGGCATGGCTCCCTCCTCCCAGTAGGGAATAAAATGGAGCTGTAGTAGGAAGAAAACTATGCAATTGAGGTCCTCATGGTAACGTGAGTTACAATTGTAAAACTCGCCCAGAAGGATTTACTTGTGCCAGGCGCTGTCTCCAGCACTTCTGTGGGCGTGACCGCACTCAATCCTTACAGCCACCCTCAGAGGGGGCAAGAGTTGCCTGCAGCAGAAAGATAAAGAAGCCTCAGAGAGCGTGAGGGACTTGCGAAAGTCTGCACAGCTGGTGAGCATGAAGAGGCATTCAAACCTAAAGAGTCCATCTCCGAAAACATGCTCTGCATTCCTCCCCCACATGCTGTCCCTTGGAGGCCGGGGGCTTTGAGAAGACCTGAGTTTTCTTGCCTTAGCCATTTCCTGGGCCCCAGAGCCCCGAGCAGATCATTGAGGAGTGTCTGGTGCCCTTTGCAATTAACAATCCTCTTTGATGTGTGGCGTTTGCGGAGCTCAGCAGACAGGATGGTATAAATAAATAAATAAATTAATTAATTAATTAAAAAAATGTAAAATAAAAATTACCCAAAAAAAGATGGTAATGATCGCCCCAGCCCGAGGGCTGGAGCCTCAGGAGCTGGGCCAGGGGTGGGGGGGCCATGCTCTGCCATACCCTGGGGCCCCTCCCATCAGCACACACTCCAGATTGTGCACCTGTGACATGCTGGGCTCTGCGGGACACACAGGAGCAGCCCGAATCCTGGAAGACAAGTGCCAAGTTCTGGTCTCGGTGCAGGGAGAAGAGACCATGTGCAGCTAGCAGGCATAAGAAACTTGGCGGAGGGGCTGGGGGGCGGAGGGTGCAGGCAGGGGTGTGGGAGGGGTGGGGGTGGGACAGAGGGCCCAGGGGGGATGAACAGAGAGGGGTGGTAAGCCACGTGGTGTTTGGTGTCAGAAAGACCAGGCTTCCCGTTCCGGCCATGCCACCGGCCCGCTGAGTGACCCGCAGCTGGTCATTGAACCTTCCTCTTCCTGGCCTCAGAGATGTTCACCACTTCCGTTTCCCGGCTCCAACACTCCAGCTTTCAATGGAATTGACTGCAGAGCTCATCTTCATGAAGTCGGGCCACTGGCTCAGTTCCACTTCTCCTGCGCTTGAGGACACACAGGCCTGACCCGTCAAAGACAGAAAAGCGTCCACGTTAAGGCTTCCTACAAGCCTTAAACATAAAGAGAATTATGGCCCTTCTCCCAAATGTACATAAAAATATACTAGATCATAAAATACAAAACTTATGTAAATGCCAAGGTTAAAATAACATCTTTCCAGATTTACTATTTTTTTGCCCAAATCCTGGATTGCTTCCTTCATCAGAGTGAAACTTTTCCAACAGTTTTGGTGTCCTTGCTTTCTAATCTTTGCAGCACCTGAAATGAGTTCCTATTCTGTCTTCTTCATTGTCTGGTTCTGGGGGACGAGGAGTCCCCAGGGAGACAGCACCCGTTTGGCCTCTAGGCCCCATAGCCAGGCACTGGGACCAGGCTGAGTCATGCTGTCCCTGTCCCCACTTATTGTGTGGGGGTCCGGGGCCCCCAGGGAGCGCTAGTGGTGTGGTCACCCTTCCTGAGTCATGTCGGAGAGCCCAGGTCTTGTCATCGGTTGTGCAGAGCCAACAGCCCTTTCTGCCCTGTCTCCCCACTGCCGCTTGGAAGCAAGGAGTTCAGTCTTCTCTGTCTGGCGTTGCCAGGGACCGGAAGTCATGTCTCCTACTTCATTGGCAATTTGACATGGCTGCTTGACAACCCGATTAATCAAACCCAGCTCATCCTGTTAGAATTAATGAGCCCAGGAAAGGCTGCCATGAATAATGAGGGCTTTTGCCTCTCCCCCAGCACCTCTCTCTGCTCACTCCCTCCTAGTTCTTTCTCTGAGTTACACAGCAACTACTCACTACCCAGTGCCCTTAGACCTGGAAGGCTGTGGCAGGTGCCCAGCAATTTGGGCATCTCCTGCCTCTTCTACTCTCCTAGGCACCATGGCTGTCCACCAGGTGCCAGAACTGGCCATGTCCTCGGGGAGCAAAACTTCCTGTTCATCAAAGAGATAGGAATGCATTTTGCCATCAACACTGCAAGGAGGATCTGCTTCAGGCACTGCACTAGGTGCTAAGGATGGAAAGTTAGATAAGTATTGTCCCTGTAAGCGATCATGGTGCAGGAACCCAGAGAGAAATGGGAGAAGTGCTACAACAGTGGGTATGAAAAAGGTGAGAGCTACAGTGAAGGGGGCCTGTCAATACTGGAGGAGTGGAGTGGGGAACTGGGAAGGGTTTACAGAGATGAGGCACTCTGAGCATTTCTGCTACCAAGTTCATTTATGGCACGTACATATGCTGAGTGCTGGGCACTGAGCAAGGTGCGGGGGTCTGGAAGTCCACCAATGGACATGGTTCCCATTCTCATGGAGCAGACATCTCATCCCCGTTCTTCAGGGCAGTGCAGGGAACCTGAGCAGACACTTGATTAATTTTTTCATTTACTCATTCAAACACAGCTGTTGTTGAGGGCCTTCAGGGAGTAGGGTGAGGCATTGAGGGGATAGTGTCCAAAGATGAACCACCCCTGATCCCTGCCTTCCAGAGCTTCTCTGAACATTAGAGAGGCATACTCACAAGTCCTTACAAGGATGTGCTCAGTGCTCTAACACGTATATACCCAAGGCACTCTGCAAAAGGTGCTTAGAGATCAAAGCACTGAGCTCAACCTGCAGAAGACTCAACCTGGGGCGACTCCCTGTAGGAGGTGGCATTGGAACTATGGTGAAGATGAGAAGCAGTTTGACAGACAGACCAATATAAGAATATTCTAGACCTCATCCAGGCCAAGGTGGGGTCTTTGAGTGACAGGGGGTGAATTGGAAGGGAAAGATGATTCTATGCATCTTTGGAGGAAACAGCTGGTTCTGCAGTCTACGGCAAAGAACATGATTAAATATGTTTTATAGGTCAGGTGCTTCTGTGCTTGCTTATCCAAAACTGGGAGCAAGATGTGGTTTCTCGAAGGATGGAACCTCCAGATTAGCAGGGATACGGTTTAAGTGACCAAATTGCAAACACACCAGTTCGGGGGTCAGGACCATCTTCTGGGTCCTTTGGCAGGAGAGAGATGGAAGGGCTGGGTCCAGAATAAATGAAGTGGGGGTGGGCAGGTGGGTATAGGAAGTAAGGAGAAAGGGAACCCTGGAGTAAGTCAGAAGAAAGCCCAGGTTGGGGGAGGTGGGTGGGCCCAACTGCTTAAATCTCTAGGAAAGTAAATGAAGGAGTTGAGTCGGTTGGATTTAGCAAGCAGAAACCATGGACTCTGGGCTGGGAGGGGGAAAGACAACACAGAGGGGAGAGAGGGCAAAGGGAGGGGAGAGAGAAAGGAAAGGGGTTGTGGAGGCTCATGGAGACACTTCAGGCCACCATGTCAGGTCTGGCAGGAAGCCAAAGCCCACCAGCTTCAGTCATGGTCATGCACATGTTGTCACAGGGTATACAGGAGGCTAAGCCCATCTCTGTGATCCACTCACGCCATCTAGCTGGGCCGGGTCCTCTGCCTCTCTGCTTCCAGACCTGCCCAGACTAGGCTTCGCATCCACTCCCAGCCAGGCCCCAAGTTCATGCCTGCAGGGATACACATCCCACCTCTTAGGTACCTGGGTTCAGCCCTGTCCCCACCTGCCAAGCTTTTGCCAACCAGAGACTCAGGGCAGAAGGCTTCACAGAGGGACAGGGGTCTCCATGTGCTGGCCTGCAGGGGAGTACAAAGGCTCCAAACTTGGACCAAATTATGCTCACAATATATTTAGAAGACCCGCTTTTGTTGTTGACATTTCACTATTGGGAGGCTTTACATAAAAATTGTCACCCAGATTCCCATGTGTACAGTGGGATGGAGCTAATGGTGGCTGTCCCTTTAACTTGGGGTCTGGGCCTTAGATTGGCCCCAGTCCCTACTAGCTGCCTTGTGTCACTTGCATGGTCTTTCTGGCTCTGAGAGCATCTGAGTTTGAGACCCCTTTACAGAGAAGTCCATCAGGCTGACAGGGGGCTTTGGATGGCAGAGGGCTTCCATAAAAATCGACCCACTCATTTCACAGGCACCCTAGGATTTGGGCAGCACCCAATGGGAGCCAAGGCACCAAAATGCTAGTTGAGTGCTCTGAAGCTGCCTGACTCCCCTGTTCCCCGTGGATTCTGGTGCTTCCCATCAAAGCCAGTGACCAGTTTAAGTGGTGTGGTCTGTCCTACCTCAGTGGCCCAAACCACCACTCCAGCCGCCACCCACCTGCCAGACTTCAGATCCAGAACTCACCACCTTCTGACTCTCTCCTGCAGGGGGAGCTGCTGAGCCCGTGCCGCTGTGATGGCTCCGTCAAGTGCACGCACCAGCCCTGCCTCATCAAGTGGATCAGCGAGCGGGGCTGCTGGAGCTGCGAGCTGTGCTACTACAAGTACCACGTCATTGCCATAAGCACAAAAAATCCTCTGCAGGTATGACCGGGGCGGGAGAATGGTTTCTCTAGCGTGGAGAAAAGGAACAAGATGGGCTAGTTGGGCACGATTGCCGTGGCATGCGGGCAGATGGGATGAGAGAGCTCTTGTGTTTTCTCCTCAGCCTTAGCAAGAAGAGAAAGGGATGGGGCAGAGATAGAAGGAAGATTTAGAAGGAAAAAAGTGTGGAGAAGTAGATGGTAGACAGGATCAGTGAGCTAAGGGATGGATGGATGAGTGGATGGATAGACGGAAAGAAGGATGGATGGATAGATGGGTATAAGGGTGGGTGGATGGATAGATGGGTGCATGGAAGGAAGGGTGGGGAGGCAGGGAGGAAAATAAAAGGAAGAGGGCAGATGAGAGTAGGATGGAAAAAAGATGAAGGGTGAGAGGTGTAGGAGAAAGACTGAGGAAAGCTAAGAGAGGAAAAAGCAGAAATAAGGAGCAGACTCAGTGGCCCACCCCAGACTTTAAGGTGCATCCAGTTCACCTGGAATCTTGCTAAAATGCAGACTGTGACTCAGGAGTCCAGGGCTGGGCCTTAGATTCTGCGTTTCTTACAACTTCTGGGTGATGCTGATGCTGCTGGCCCACAGACCACACTCCCATGTGACGGGGGCCAGAGGAAAATGGAGAAGAGACAGGAGAGGGAGGCAGCGAGAAACAGAATGGAAAGAAGGAAAAGGAGGGACTGAGAAGGGGCTACCATCAGCGGCAAGGGAAGAGCGGCCAGGCGGGGGTGGGGTCTGTCACACGGATTCCAGGGATTGGGACAGGGCTGCACCCCCATCCTCCCCCACCCTCTGGCCCTACCCTGACACATCCCTCATCCCCAGCGCGGCTGGTGGGCCCTACTCCACCTCGTAAATCCTCCAAACCCAACTGCTTTCCCTGCGCGGTGCACTCGCATATAGAGAGCACTTCGCTTCTGAAAATACCTGCACCTATGCGGGGTCAGCCGATCGGGTTGCCCCATAAGCAATGAGCCGCTTCGCTCCTCCTTTTTTGGGGGGAGGGAAAGAGTGGATTCTGCCAGCCCAGGGGGGCGAGGGGGTGGTGTGACTGTGGGGCTGGAGGCTTCCTGTGCAGGGGCAGCCGGAAGCCTGGAGCCAGGAATGAGTGCGCGTGTGTGTGTGTGTGGGTGTGCGTGTGTGTGTGTGTGTGTGTGTGTGTGTGTGTCTGCGCTAGGACATGCCTGTGGGCCAGCAGGGGGCGTCACTTCTGGAAGGAGGCCTTAAAACTCCCAGACACCTCAGAGGAAGGGTTAGAATGAGAGGGGCCTCTCCAGGTGCTGGTCCCATCTTTGGTCATTCATTTCAAATCTCCAAGTGTCTTCAAGTAGCAGGTTGTGAGACTGCTGATTCCATGACCTCTGGGCTGCGTTTGCTCTCTTCGCAGCTCTTTCGAGACTTGGAAAAGGGTCAGAGTCTGGATCCACAGGCCCACCCCAAAATAACCCCTTGGCTCATAAACAGGCACCAGATCTTGACTCATAAAATGAAAAACCATTTAGGGATCATCCCCCCCATCCCCGGGAGTAAAAAAAAAAAAAAGAAAGAAAGAAAAAAGAAAAGGTTATTCTGATCTCTTAAGTATGGTGAGCAAATGGCTGTGTTGACAACACTGATTCATGAATTTAAGTGACTAACATGCCTTTCACTATGAGTTTCTAAGCCCTGGGGACTCCCTCTGATTCTGTTGCTCCTGGAAATGCATGATGTGTGCTCAGTAACTGCCACTGCACTTTTCCAGATAGCACCAGAAGAAGGAAGTAGTTTGGCCTAGTGGCAGTGTTGTGTGGTTGTGGTCCAGATTGTCCCAGCTGTGTGTCCTGGGCTTCTCAGGCCCAGGCAAGAGTAGGATGGCTACTGTGGAGCAGATCGAGCTCCTACAGTCAGCGGAAGCACCTACCGTCAGGGACGCAACAGGGGGCCCCTCCTGCAAGCAAGAGTCTCCATGGCGGAGTAGGGGGGGCGCGGGGAGAGGGCCCCAGGGTGACAAGCTTCTGCTGTCAGAGCGGGGGCACTTCACCCACGTCTCAGGTCCTCCAACACGCGGGCCAAACCTCATCCAAAGTTGTGAGAAATAGCGCCCGCCATGGCACATTATTTCAGTGACAATCCGCAAGTTTCAGTTTCTAGCAGAAAAGCCATGGAGAAAGGAATCTCGGGTTGGCCTTGGGGCTTTCTGGCTGCTCCTCACCCTCTCTCTGCTGCAACTGAACTATAGTTATATAAACAAACATTTAGTTAGTGCTCCCTGGGGGCGAGTCACTCTAAGTCTTCACATATATTATCTCATTTAATACCGAAAACAACCTAGGGCTGTGGGCACTGTTCTTCCCAATTCACAGATGACACAGTGGAGGGACAATTTGCTCACAGTTACCTTGGCGGGGTGGGCTTGCACAGAGGGTCTCATTGCTCTGACCTTCCGTGCATAGGCATGGCTTGGCTGAGTGCATTTGGGAATGTCCCACCTGGACATGCGTCACTGTATTTTCGCTCAAACATACTGAAGAGTGGAAATGACAGCTGCTCGTCCCCTTCAAGGAATTCTTTCATTCAACCTCACAGTACTCTAGGGAGTGAGAAGGGCCAGTTATTTCTGTTTTTATGAAAGGGAAAACTAACGGTCCTTATGACTTACTGACTTCTCCTAGGTGACACTTTGTAAGCTGCAATAGAGCTCAGCCAGAACGGGGTCCTGACCCCTCCCTTGCTCAGTGCCCCTTCTTGGGGTCAAAGGAAACAGCCGGTCCTGGTGCTGCAGTCCAGGGGGGATACTGGGATCGGAACCTCCTTAGGAATACTGGGATCATGATACTGGGATCAGAACCTTGTTAGGAATGAAGCCCCAGTGTTGGGGGTAGCAGAGTCTCTGGAGCTCTTCTCCCCTTCCCAGCCTCCCTTGGAGGTCTCAGAGCTGTCTTGTTCTCTCTCGCTCTTTGCAGCTCTGTTCCCCACTCATTTCCTAGAGGTTCCCGTGGGACACACAGGAGGAAAGCCTGTCTACAGCACCCCACCCTGTTCCTTTCTCATCATGCTTCAGACCGCAGTCAGCGACTGAGGTTCTACAGTTCACTGGGGGACCAGGCACTAGGGTGGCTTTAGGGACTAAGGCACTTTCTGTGCCTCTATATTTGGGGGTTTTGAAGTCTGGAGCAGGAGGAAGTGAAGGTTATTGATGACTCAGTGGTCAAACCAAAAAGCTCCATCAGGAACCCTCTTCCTAGACGAGAGGCAGGCTCTAGAGGAAGCATTTGTGGTCTAGTATTTGAGAGGAGTCTGTAGGTTCAGACCACCTTCTGGAAAATTCCCTTGCTCTGTGTAGACCCAGGCTGGAGGAAGCAGTGGAAAATTGAAAGGCCTGATTGCCTGGAGTAGGATGCTATCTGTACAATTAAAGGTAAAGGCTGATGTCCTACATCTAGAACAACAAGTGGAATGTATTCCAATGGTTACCATTCCTTAGGAGCTGCTGGTCAGTTATCCTGGAGCCAGAATGAGTGTTTGCATCCAGGCCATTTAGTGTGGAAGAAGGACTCGCTGTTGGGAGATGGAATGTTGTCTGGTTTTTCTGGGGAGTTCAGGCTGAAACGCCTGCTGGGGGTATTCTCTGGGCTTTACACAAATCCCGACAATCACAAGATGGTACTGCACTCCAGCTTCCCAAATGCAATCCTGTTACTTCCCTGCTTAAAACCGTTCCAGAGCATCCTATTTACTCATAGGACACAGCCAAAATTCTGTGCATATTCTTCAAGATTCTACATGGTCTCCTCTTCTTATTTTTCCAGCTGTCTTACCCCACACTCCCTTTTGCTCTCTCTGCTCCACCCTTTCTGGTCTTCTTCCAGGTTTCCATACTCACTATATATATTTTTTTCCACCACTGGACCTTTGCACATGCTTTCTCCTCTGCCTAGAGCACTCTTCCCTCCTCTCTTTGCCTGAACTCCTCCTCAACTCAAGCATTGCTTCTTTTGACAAGTCAAATCTGCCTATCAAAGGCTCTCATAGTTCTATCTACCTCCATCACTTATGCCTGATGAACTATAGCTGTAAATACATTATTTGATCATCTGTGTTCCCTAGACTATAAATTCTATGAGGACAGAAATCTTATATGTTTTTGCTTACTGCTTTATTTCCAGCACCTAGCAGAGTACATATTTATTGAGTGAGAGCATGAATAATTCCCAAACTAAAATCCAACTCCAGGCACATTTAGGTGCTACTAAGGCCAGCCATAGAATCATAGAATTTCAGAGTTAAAGCCCACCCACACCCCAGCCTTCAATCTGTCCATCAATACTGCTGTTAGCATAATGCTTTTTCTGTTAAAAAATGAAATCTCAGCATTCACAGATAGTAAAGTATATTTTTTTTCTTCTCTCTCCCCCACATCCTGTGTCCTCTCCTTGTCTGTTGAATTGGTAATCGCTAGCATTTATATTAAATGACATGTCAGGTGTTGTTGTAGAAAATAAGTTAAAAAAAAAAAAAGGCCTGGGCCCTATTAGTGTGAAAATAAATAGTGTTGCTCTGAAAAGAATATTCTGGGCCCCAGAATACCACCCTCACTGGCCTATACTTTCACTTTGTCTGCATCATAATCAATCATAAAGGCCTTCCTTCCCAGCCACGGCTGCCCAGAACCCCCTCCCTACAATAACTTCTGCCTGTTTGGTGTGATACCAGTTTCCTCCATAATGAAAGGGGAACATAAAACTCAGAATGTTGGAACAATAACCATTGTGTTCCTAGTTAAAAAGCCTTGCATTAAATTCAAAACCTGAGGTAAGAGGTTGTGACAGCAGAAGGAAAAGGGATGGGAATGGGGTGGAAATGGGATAGGGGCATCCAAGCAACAGCTAACCTGTCTTTGTCTTCTTTGCAGTGGCAGGCCATCTCTCTGACGGTCATTGAGAAGGTTCAGATTGCAGCTGCCATCTTGGGTTCCCTCTTCCTCATCGCCAGTATCTCTTGGCTTATCTGGTCAACCTTCAGTCCCTCAGCAAAATGGCAACGCCAAGACCTCCTCTTCCAGATCTGCTATGGGATGTATGGATTCATGGATGTGGTGTGCATAGGTGGGTCTGGGGGTTTGTCTCTATGGGAAGTGGGGAGCCATATGCTGGTGAGCTAGACAAATCTCTCAGGACCCCTCCCTCTGAAATGTCGAAGCACAAGGCTTGAGAGCTGTAAGCTCGGTAGGAGCCAACACTTTAGATTTGAGGTGTCAGTGGGGTAGGGGAGGAGGCAAGCCAAGGAGGAAGATCTAAATCTTTCCGAAGCAAATCTGTTCTTGCCCAGTTGAAGATAAGGATAAGGAGGATTGCCTCTAAGGAGACGAGAAAGGTCAGTTGGTCAGTCTGTCTGCCTCAAATAGAATGTGGAAGCTCTCCTCTCTGTTGTGTTCTCCATGGCTGTCAAGCCGTGACAAGGGATGACTATACATTTAATCCATTCACGTCCCAGCAAAATGCCCAGAAATAGCCATCATGATACCTGCCCCTCCCCCCTTTTCTTCAGCTTTCCATGAGCCGATTATAATGCCCCATATGTCTCTAGTCTGGTGGTTTCCAAACTGTATATTGTCCCGATGTTCCACACACAGCTTCAGGAACCAGTTTGGGAGTGGGCAATGGAACGCAGTGCAGACAGGCTCCGAATCTTCACCCTTGCTTCACCTTGAGTTTTGGTACTTTTATTCACTTACATACGTTTCTGTTCTAAATAACTCTTCAGTGTTTGAGAAAAAAAGTTGGAAGCCCTCCACTTTAATTCCTGCCTGTTCCCTTACACCAGTCCCAAATCTGTGTTCCTTCCTCTTCTACTAAGTTAGGTTGATTGGTGGAGGCTTGGGTCTTTTTGTTCTTCCACACAGATGCTTTTGGTTTTCAACTCTGGAGCTGTCATTCAAGTGACTGAGGTCCTGGTTTTCTCTCAGGGACATGAAGCACTGGTCATTCAGCCTAACCTGGAAGTCTCGGGTTGTCCCCTAGGCCATGGTGCTGATAGCATTGAAGTTCCACAGTTGTGTTTTCTGGGCTTTGGTTTGTATATTGTATCAAATATGCTACACTGCTCTGTTTGGCAGGAAAACATCTATTAGCTAGAATTTGGCTGGGAGGATGCTTTGTGAGTTTCTTTGGGGTTCTTTAATATCAGAGTCAGAGAGGCCTGGAGACTCACATGCTGATTATAGCAGCCAGAGACCATTGATGCTGGCACTTGGATACTTGTCTTAGCGTCTCGCTCCCTCTCTCTGCTAGCTAAACCAATATATCCACCCTGAGTTCAACAGCCTTTTTAAAAGCACCCTTTTATGGCACCTGGACAGATGGCCCAGGTTTGGAGGACTGTGGAAGAGAGGACTGTGAATGGGGAGGAATTTGACTTTGAGCATTTCTAATTTAGTTCCCCCTCCACCAAAACCCCTTCCTACCCCACTGAGGCATGGGTGGTGGCTGCCAGAAACCAGGTGTGTCTCCATATGGAAGTGTACAGCTCTGGCATGAAGGAGGGCAGCAGCGGAGGGCCTGGAGGAGCCTCTCCAGCTGCCCTTCATTCTCCTTCAGGCAGGCTTTTGACTGGTCCTGATGTGTGCTTCGACTAGACTTGCTTTCCTGTCGTGTGTGTATCAGTCAGCTTTGGCTGCAGTAATAGGCAACTCCAGTACTGCTGTGCCTCAGGACAATAGGCATTTATTTCCTGTGGCTAGGCCTGCATGATGGCTGTGGCTCAGCTGGCCTTGGTCGGCTTGGCTTCTGACTAAGTACTGGGTTCCAACCCGCTCTGAGTGGCTCCTTGTGCTGGGGCCCAGGCTAAAAGGGCAGGGACTGCTGGGGTATACCCTTCTAGCTAGTTACAAGAGCACAAGAGGACTGGTGGAAACTTGCAGGGCCTCTCGAAACTTCTGCTCAATACTGGTTTACTGTCTCCTCCACAGCCCATGGGCCAAAGCAAGTCATCAAAGAGCCCAACATCAGTGTGGGGGTAGGTGAGGGAAGCGTATTCCTCTTTCCCTGAAGGGAACATGGGAGGGAAAGAGGAGCATAAATGCCATCTGCCATTCAGGGCTTCATAGATTTGAAGACTGAGATGAGTAAATGTAGAAGAGATCATGGGATCAACCCGTACAACTCCTGTTTTGAAGTTGAGAGAACTGGGGCTCAGAGAAAGGAAGTGATCTGCTCAGGATTGCTCAGCTGGGAATAGAAGCAAGTTCTCCTGATTGTCAGTCCAGTGCTCTTTCCGTTATCTTCTTGCATCAGACAGCAGGAGTCTTCAGTGTACCTTATGGAACATATGCAGATGCTACCTGCAACTTTGAGTGCACTTGAGCCCACTTACAGGAAGAGGCCTCACAAACCGGCCTGCTCCATGTGGGTCTGTGGGCCACCTAGCACCCCTGCTTGGGCCTTCCTGGCACCCTGGTCTCTCCTGCTCATAGTATCTCCCTCTGAGTAGGGTTCCACAGAACCATCTCGTCCTCTTGGCTTCTCTCCATCTGCCTCCCTCCAACCCATTTCTTTTCCATTTTTTTAAATATTTTTTTTATAATCATATAATTTATTATTAGTCCCAGTGGTACAGGTCTGTGAATCGCCAGGTTTACACACTTCACAGCACTCACCATAGCACATACCCTCCCCCAATGTCCATAACCCCACCACCCTCTCCCCACCCGCCTCCCCCCAGCAACCCTCAGTTTGTTTTGTGAGATTAAGAGTCTCTATGGTTTGTCTCCCTCCTCCAACCCATTTCTATCTCTCAAATTCTTTCTCTTCTTTCTCTTCATATATATATGGCACTCAATCACCCAATTTCTGGAAGAAGGACAGTGAGCTAAATATTGAGAGTTTTCATTTCTTCCAAGCTTTTAGGAAAACATAATTTCCCACGATGCAAAGCCACACCATGATCTGTCCATTCTGCTCTGACAAGCCAGTGACTGCCTGGAGATAGCCATTGGACAAGAGGGGGCTGCATAGGGATCATAAGTACTTTGAGTGCCATCCCAAAGTGTTCAGATATATTTACATTTAGACTAGCTCACCTTTAAAGAGTTTAGACTGTGCTATCATTTTGTTGATTATAAGTGGAGCTAATTCAGTTGTTAGACCATTTCCCCAGGGGCAATAATTTTCTTCCCATTATTCTAGATGGGGAAACTGATACTGAAGGATTTGTCTTAGGCTGACTCAGGCAGCAGAGCAGGAGTCTCATTTCAGTGTTTTTCTAGGAGAGGGAGAAAATTCTAGGAGATAAAATAAAAAAGAGAGTAATATATGATCTAAAGAAGAGAGTGAAAGATGTGGACAGTAGTTGAAATGCACGAACAGATTCTTGTGATGGTTGCATTGATGATGATTTTGATATTGGTGATGATAATCAGTAGTGATGTTGGTGGTTTCAAGGGTAAAGTTTAGGTATCAGTCACTTACCTCTCTTCTGTAGTGTTCTGGCCAGTTGGGGGAAAACACTCAGTGCTACATAAGTGGTTATAAAGTATCAGCCTCTTATGGGCTCCCTAGTAGGGATAGTCAGGTGGAGCCTGGAATGTCCACCAGCTGTGTATTTATTTTTAGGCTCAACTAGACACTTAGACTCACAGACCTACAGGAGAGTACACTTGGCACTAGATTCACTTAGGGGAATTTAGGACAGGAGCCACAGTCTACACAAGGCAGTTTCAGCTTACTTCTGCAGGTGAGTCCTTGCTGCACTCCATATCCTAGTCCAGAGCTCATCTCTCAGCGCTCAGATGATAGCTCAGGAAGAAGGAGATGAGAGCCACAATACCACCTTGACATAATTCCCCACAAAAGTCATATGCAGTTACCAGTGTCGGGGACACCCAAACTACAGCCTCCTACCAGGCATTCATAGTAAAGCAGCCACCAATCAGGGGTTACCTCCACCGTAGGGAATTTTGTAACACAGCTGACACTCCACCTTCCTCAGAATTCCAGGGAAACAAGCCAGAATGGCAACTCAGGGTCTAGTTTGTTTTGAGAGGAGGAGCAAGTATGCCATCATCTCTATCCTACCACCTCCTGCCTCTACCCATGAATCTTGACTTCTTGACACACAAACCTGTTTCACTGAACCAATGCAAGACAGAGGAGTTGGAACGTGGAAGGAGACTGGGTAGGTAAGCCAGAAGGAAGCACAATGTGGTCTTCTTAGTGCACAAAAATGAACAACATGGACAAAAGAGTCACAGAGCAGCACCTCTATTACTATAAAGGGGGTCATCAGTTCTAAAACTCAGTCAATTAGCTTATTCCTATGGGAAAAGGGACATTTCCCATCCAGAGCTCCTAAGAAAGTAGAAGAAGATGATGTGACAGAGTGGACAGAAGAAGAGATGATTCCTTACCAGAAAGTAGATGGAATTGATAATGGGAGAGGTGAGTATTCTCAAGAAATGTTGGTTGAAAAAAAAGTTGAATGAAAAAGTCCATACCCATAGACCCAAGGTGCTTGGATGGATGGAGCAATGCAGTACTTGAATAGAAATTTACCATCCGAAGAAGGAAAATGAGTTTAGTCCTAGGAAAATGAGTGCTAGCTCCAAAGGCTGAGTAAGAAAGGAATAGGACCATCTGTTAAAATGAGTCTTTGGACTTTCTCTGTTTTTCAGACACCAAGAACAGTTTGTCTATTCCCTAAGACTGTTAAATGGCCTCAGACAGTAAAGAATCTGAGTAAACATGAAATCTATAGCTTTAAGTAATCCTTAAAAATAGACTAAGCTTTGATCAGAGCAGTCTTCTAAGGGAAGACTCCTAAGAGTGGAAAGGACATAAAGAGACACTCCATTGGTGCCAGCACCAGCTGAGCAGATATTCTCTGCCATGACGCCAAGAGAATGCAGAGCATGGGACATGGTCACCTTGCTGCCCACGAAACCATATTGGCTCCATCCATGGCTATGTCCACCTGGCTGACCTCCAGGGAAGGGCCTTTGGTTCTCACCAAAGAATTTTGCCTAGGATGGATGTCAGGAAGGTCTGGGTTCTCTGCTGGATGCAGCTTGGGTCCAGGGTTGTGGACAAGGCCTCTAGACTTGGTTATATCA